CTTTTTTTTTTTTTTTTTTTTTTTTTTTTGAGACAGTTTCTCAATAAGTCACTGATTGTCCAGGTGGGGCTCAAACTTCTGACCCTCCTGTTTCAACTTCACAGAGTACTATGTGTATTCGCCACTGTGACTAACTAAATGGTGATAATTTTGAGGCCATTCAGAGCCTTGGTAGCTAAACTAACTGGAGCACCTGGATATATAAAAGGTTTTGTGTTATGACAGCCATTTCTGGAAACATAGTTTTATCTTATTTTGTGCCAGTAACATTGGGAAACATCCTGGCAGAGTTTTCATGCTAAACCTAGTCATGGGGCTTGTCATGGAGCTCCGGGTATATGGAATAGGGTCACTTTCCAGAATGGAGCCTGGGACAAGGAATTAGCACACAGATCTCACAGAAATTAGACTAGCATTATTGTTTCTTATAAATGTCCATTCTGTTTTGAGACACATGTTGAACTATGTTATCCTTATGTATCAGGAAATGAGACCTAGAGCCTTCTAAGGTAGGATTGAGACAGGCAAAAGGAGAGCCTGGCAAATTATTTGGCTTAGAGGTGACCAGTGTGGCTAACACAGAATCCATGAAAGTCCTTACAAACCAAAATGATAATCTTGGGAGATGAAGTAGGAGGGAGGGACAAAAAGGCGAAGAAAAGCAGAGAGACTATGCTAGTGTTTTACAGGATCCTCAGGACTCTCGAATGCCACCCTACTCCCACCTGGTTTTGAATGTGAGCTTGCTCTGATGTCTGTTTTCCTTCTGAAACCAGGTGTGGATCAATCAGTGGTGACAGCGGGCCCAGCAGCAGCCTCTGACAGTTCTTCACAAGTGGTTAGGCCCAAGGAAAAGGCCTCCAACACTACTACTACCCACAGACTCCAGCAGGAGCTGTCTTCCTCTGACTGTACAGGCTCCCGACTAAGGAATGTCAAGGTCCAGACAGCCCAGCTGCCCTTGAGTGACGCAGCCAAATGTGACCAGCAGGCTGGGCCATGTGTCAACAGAGGTACTCAAACCAAGAAGTCTGGGAAGTGTGGGCAGACAAGGCATCGGGCCCAGCAGTCCAGTGGCACCTGTGGGCGGCCAGCAGCAGGCAATGAGCAGGCTGCCCCTCATGTCCGAGACACCTCTCAAGCCCTGGAGCTTACTCAGTATTTTTTTGAAGCTGTTTCTACCCAGATGGAAAAGTGGTATGAAAGGAAGATTGAAGAAGCACGAAGTCAAGCCAATCAGAAAGCCCAGCATGACAAGGCCACACTCAAGGAACATATTAAAAGTTTGGAAGAGGAACTTGCTAAACTAAGGACTAAGGTGCAGAAGGAAAATTAGGACATGAAGAATAGAACAAGAGAATTCTTGAGGATTTCTAGCTTTGCAACTGAAGAATAGCTATGGCTAAGAGCCAGGGATTTAGCTCAGTGGTGCCACTGCCTGCCTCGCAAATGCAGGGTCCCAAGTTCGATGTCTGGTACAAAACAAAACAAAACAAAAAACTACGGCTAGAAGTGGATTATTGTACATGTAACAGGATATGCCTTTAAAAAAAATCATTAATTTCTAAAATGAGTCACACACGTGCGTCACAGACCCTGAAGTTACAGAGAAGAGACTTCAACAATTAAGCTGAAACCAGGGGAAGCTTGCTATTTCAGATTTCAATACAAGCCGTAAACCTCAGTCCAGATTCATCTGAAGTTCAAAAGTTCAGATTAAGCAAGCCAAGCTAAGAAACAGAATAATGTCTGAACCTAAATGCTTAAATTCAAGATGTGTGAAATTATAAATCAAAAGCAAGAAAATTAAATCCTTGTATACTCAGTCGTTCATTGAATACACCTGCTGTGCCTAGACAAGCGTGTCTTTATAAGAGAAGTGTAACTCTGAGATGTGCTCAAACCTCTTTGTCAGACCCCAATCCTCAAAATGGTGTTTTAAGCAGGTGAAATTTTACCAAACAGATTTTAAGGGGAAAAGGCTTTTTATCATGTCATAAGATCCAGTGTATCTTAATTTTTTGAAATGTCAAGAGATTAAATGACGAGTAATTGGCTAACAGGACTGGAAATGTTAAATTAGCTCAACTGAGAAAATTTCAAATGACTTCATCATGGTTACTGTATTTTCAGCCAAAAAAATCAATCATAGCAGATTAATGGAAAGAACATTCATGTAACAAGTACCTGAAACTACTATAATCTCATAAACCCAATTACCTTAGAGTACCTTTCTGAATAAGATTGATCTACACTTTATTTTTTTAAAAAAGAGTATTGAAGTATTTCATTTTAAATTGAACTCTATCATTGAGGAACCTCAAACTTTCTGCAGGTTTGCAATGTGTTTATGGAGTTTATGCCAGTGACTAGCTTTAGATACTGCTACTACCAGCTTGATGGAGCCCTTAAGGCTTTAATCTGGTAGTAATGAAATGAACACAGGGAAAGGCTGTCAAAGCAGCTTGGTTATGCTGAAACTCTGGATTTTTCAAGCTTTTTGTCCTTTGAAATCTGAGATTAAACCAATCTCAAAATTCCACATATGCTAGAAACTTTGTTTCTATAAACCCAGGAATCTAGTAACTATTGGCCATAATGTGAATAAAATACTGCCCATTGAGCCAAAGAAGAGTGTCTCGTTGACACGGTGACACCCTGAAAAACAGTACGCTTTTAGTCCCTTTATCAAGCTCACATTTTTTTTTTCTGATAGTAGCAATCTACAGATATAAACATTCCTTAAAACATAATTCAGGATCCCTGTTAGAGCTGAAGATGGAATGCATGTGCTCTCAGGTTGATGTCATGTGCCCTGCGCTGTGTTTCTCAGATCCACGGGAGGGAAGTCTTCCCCAGACACTCACTGGCTTGATCATCTAGGGGTTGTTCACTCTTATCATGTCACTGTCTATTTCTAATGTAGAATCACAATTTTGTAGAGCTACACAGTATCTATGTTCAGTTTTCTAAATCTATTCCTAAGATATCAAAAACTTCTGGAGGATCATTCCTCAATATATACTGATCTACCGGGACCTGCCTAATGCACAGAGATAAAATGCTGAGTTTTTAAGCCATGCCCCAAGCAGGTGTTATTTTCACTTATTAGAACATTTTCTTTCTTCAAGGTTTCCTCATAAAATGCTGAAAACAATTTTACCCAAACCATCAAGTCAACGATAAAGTGCTTTGGTGGGAGTATTTCGGTTATATACCTCTTGGCCACTAGAAGTAGGCAGCTTAATCACTGTGAACTGGGTATTTCTGTCAAAAGTCACAGCTAGGGAAGAGATTAGAGAGGAATTAGGTCAAATGACCTAGTACAACAGTCTACAAGGATGTCTCTTGGTGCTCTGTCACAGAAGAGAAAACAGAAGCAGGAAACAGAACAGTCAATCAGCTTTCTACTCAGTGGGCTGAAGTGTCAGTGAAGACTAATACAATTGTGTTGCAATTTCAACAATTCTTGTCAGGTCTTTTTTGCTCCTTAGCATTGTGAAAACAACTGCAGGTCTAGTGTGTATCTTTCCGTATCTTGCCCTTGAGCTATCTGCTACAATGAGTAAATGCTCCAACTTTTCTTCTCTGAAGAAACAGCTATTAGAAATTTATAGCTTGCCGCATAAGTTGTATTTCAATTTGAAGCTCACACTTTCAATACCTGTGGGTAAAAGTGATATAAAACAGAAAAAGGCTGTACAATATTACAATGTTTTAAAATTGTCAGTACATTATTGCATTGTGTATACTAAATACATGTGATAAACTGAATGTTAGTTCTAATCTCACTTCTGACTTTGGGAGCCCAAAATAAAGGAAATGATATTTTTATGTTTATACTTCTTTTTTGAGTCAAATGTTGATATATTGAGAAGCATGTTCCTTGTCTTCCACTTAATATTTTTATCACCTTGAATTTGTGTCTCCTCCAAGTATTAAACGTTGTTCCCGATATTACAGACCTTAAACTCATTAAAAAATGAAAATGTGACCACCTTGTTTAGCCTACGTTTTTTTTTTTTTTTTTTTTTTTTTTTTTTTTTTTTTTTTTTTGGTACCAGGGATTGAACTTGGGTCCTTGTGCTTGCAAGGCAGGCCACTGAACTGCTGAGCTAAATCCCTGGCCCATTGCCTATAGTTTTATTTGTTGCAGCTGACTAAATTTTATGGTTCTTGAAAGAGTAGTTTGACCCAGCCACACTTTGCCTTGCATTTGTAAAAGTGTGATTTAGAGCAAATACATCTACCTGCTTTAAAGTTACCATCAGGTGCACTGGACCAAAACAACCACCATAGTAGGGCAGATTTCTCAGCACAATCAAAGGTGCTTTAACTGCTGACCATTTGGAAAGGACTGAACAAAGAGGAAGGACAAACATCATTTGTACTAAAAATAACACACGAGCTAAAATAATATACTCTGTGACAAATTGTTGCTAATGTTAAATACAGTTCCTCCTGTTAAATGTGGATTGTAAAAACCAATTAAATGTAAATTAAGCCAATTTAAAAAGACCTCTGTGAATAAAACAATGTTTTTTATTTATAATTTTAAGTGGAAATATTCTTTCCCTTTAAGTCAAATGTGAAAATATTCCTTCCATGAGACACAAAAGGCAGTAAAGCACTTTTTAAAAGTGATCTACTCTTTTTCAGTTAATCTCGTAAACTTAATCCTAATATAATTTCTTAAGGGCCTGAATCAAGCAAGGAAAACAACCAGTTGTGATTTCTAGCTTGGTAGACTATTTGTTTATCTCATACAAGTGTCTATTGGTGCAACTGCAGGAACACAAATGACAGGGCCCTGTTCTGCTTTCGTTATTACAAACGCATCTGTCTCAGCAGGCGCATCCTCAGCACTGCCCGCACCAAGAATTTAAAGCTTCCCATCTGATGGCACCTTTTCAAAGGGGAGCACAATATAGGGACAAATGGTATGTATAAAGTGGACTTGGCCATTTCTTGTTATAAAAGGACTGATTATTGTTCAAATACAGTTTAACATTCACACATCTTAAACTTTAAGAACAAAAGTCTAACTCTCAAACAAGAGTACAGTTTACAGGGAAGTCCCAAAAACTGCCTAATCTGTAATACTGATAAAGATCACTTCCTGACAAATAAAATGCATTTAACCAGCAGTTCTATTCGGGCCACTACCTTGAGGAATGTGGCTCTTTAGCTGAGAACAAACTGCTAAAATAAATCTCTTTAGCAACAAGATCTGACCTACAACTCGGGGGGGAAATCAAACCATACAACTGAACAGAGTAAACTCCTTTGTAGAGATAAAGGTAAAAAAGCAAGGACTTTATGTTCATTTTAGCCTCTGGAAAATAATTTCCAGTGTTTTACCTATTTAAAAAAACACAAACCCCAGCTTTAAGTTTCCTTGGAGTCTGATATTTGCATCTTAAATTCAAAGCACAAATGCTCAAGTTTCATGTACATGGCTGCTAGGAAGACCATCCTCAAGTTACTGCATGATCCATAAAAGGATTTTTTTTTTAAGTTTCAAGATTTTAGGGTTATTATGACTATGTTCGACTATGCAAGTTAACATACCATACAAAATATTTCCAATAAGTTCTTTATTCAGAAACTTCACAAATTCTTTTTATCAGATGATTCTGCAACACGCTAATGCTTATTTAGGAACCTGAAGGCTGGCTCACACGAGCATTTTGAATTAATTAGATTACCCCCTTGGAAGGGTACTCAGAAGTATTTTATGCTGTGAACTCTGAGGCAACAGGAAGTAGGAGTGGGCTCTGGGAATCCATTAACATACACACCACTGGTTTATGATTCTCCTCTCGCTTATAATACAAGTACTTGATACCATGTATTCTGCAAAATTTGTCTACATCTTTCAGGTGCTGGCCAGATTTTTGGATTAGCTTCTTAGCTCTGTTCCATTGATGAATGGGACTTCTCTTTGCAGGACTGATAACCCCAACATCTTCCATAAGCTTTTGCTTCCATATCTTTTATTAATTTAATTGTATGTTATAAATTGAGTCAGTTTCAAAAGTGACCTAAAGTCAACTCTGGATGAGATGTAGTTGTCTCTGATGTATTCTTCAAAATTCTGTTTTTCCTGTCCCTGGAGAAGAATCTGACACACCAAAAATTTTCTTCCAGGATTTACTTCTATCCACATCAAAATTAAGGTAATCGTGAAGTTTCATCGAGAACTTGCTTGAAGTTTTCCCTGCTTTTTTTGGTATTTAATGTTCTCATTCTTTTTCTCTCCTTTCTAGCACAGATCCAGATTTGCTAGTGATGGTCTTTTTAGAGTCCTTTGGCTATCAAATCATGGCACAGCTGAAGAATGTACCTCAACAACCCTTAAAGGTAATGCAGAAGGATTTTTCAAGAAGGTTCCAAAATGCTGCGATTATAGGTGTGTGCCACTGAGCAATTTCTCCACATTTATTTCCCTTTTTTAATTATAGCCATTGTAGTGGAAGTGAAGTGCTATCTCATTATGGTTTTAAAATGAGTTTTCCTGATGATTTGTGTTGAGCATCTTTCCATGTGCAAACTGGCTGTTAATAGTTTTGGCTTCTTATGAAAACTGGTGATACATTCAGAAACATTTTCAGAACTCAGTTATATCTGTCAGTTCTAAGGCAGCTTCACTGTGCTTTTCTTTGCTATCTATGATGTACTATGCTCTGCTTTCTGATATTGCTTCTGAGTAATGTATATACGAACAGTTTGACTTGGCTTTGAACTGTCCATTAAGCCTAAACTCAACAAAACATGAAGATTTAGAAATCCTTCAAATAATGCTAGAGTTAAGATTTTGCTAATGCAAGTGTTTTCTCTAACTCCTTTAGCTGGATATTGCCTTGAGTAATCATCATCCGGATTGTATCCTGTATTAGAAAGTGAAATTTGGTTATCACTCTACGTGATTAAGGTACAGTTCTACCATTCTATTTGTAAAATTCAAGGATCAGTAGAGGAGGGCTATGGGTGTAGCTCAGTGGTAGGGCATGGACTTACTATGCACAAAGCTCTGGGTTCAGTTTCAGCATCAAACACATACACTCCAACAACAAAAAGTCAGGAGTGCAACTGGAACTGCTCCACATTAGGAAAGCTAAAAACAGTGTGGTACAGCAGAAAAGCCAAGGGATGCTACTGTACAGATAACAATTTTAAAAATTTAAATATAATTTGAATAGAAATAAGTAACATTACAAGCAATGATCAAGATACAACACCTTAGCTGGGTGGACACCTATAATCCTAGCATTTTGGGAGGCTGAGGCAGGAGGCTCCCAAATTTGAACCCAGTCTGGGCAACTTAGCCACTTAGTGAGACCCAATATAAAAAAACAAAACAAAACAAAAAATCAAGCTGGGGATGTAGCTCTGAGATTCAGTGCTTGCTTAGCATGTGAAAGGGCCTAGATTCAATCATAAGTAATCCTCCTCCCCAAGTTATACCATTTAAGTGACATTTATATTCTAACATGTCTACTAAATTCAAAACAATCACAGGTCGATACAAAAGAGCCAGGCTGTTCTCAACATCATTTTGTTCTCACCTCTTCTGTGGCACTTTTATTTCTTTCGAATTCTTCCCTTGCCCAGTTTCTCAGGTACTGGCGATCAGATGCATTTGGAACTTGCTGGATTGCTTGCAAAATTCTTCTATAGAGGAGGAGAACTTGTTGCCTTCTCAGGAACTGTTCAGGGTAGGAAAACTGACATTTATAACCGCACAATCGCCAGCTCTGTTTTAGCAAAACTAACAAGGCACTGTCTATCAGAACTGAGGAATTCTGAAAAGGACAAAGAAAAACTTTCTTTTGACATTAGCAAGAAGTGAATTTGGGCATTTGCTTACTCCCCTGTCAAACCTGAGAACTTTTAAAATCAAGAGCTCATATAATGGGTAGAAAAAGGACTTCTAGAAGTTGTAGTAGTAACAGTGCTTTTTTGTTTTTTTCTTTCTTGGTCCCGGATCGAACTTGAGTTCTGGCCCTTGCCAGGCAGTCGCCAGAACCAATGAGCTATATCCCCAGCCCAGCCCAACAGTGCTTTTTCTAGATGAACACAGATGTTCAAATTCTTTGTTCATTATCATGGAGCAATCTTTGCCAAGGTTACTGGGGAAAGGAGGTATCTAGGCTCGGAGAAGAGCCTGGCCCGCCTCTGGTGCCCCTGAAAGCCCTGCACTCCTCCCTTGGGTCCCACGGAGGGAAGCTCCGCCCCTCTGCCCGGGGCCAATCACAGGGTGCAGGCTCAGGGTCAGGACCTGTCCAGACTCCAGAGGCCACAGTGGAAGAGGCGGGGAACGGAGAAGCTCAGATCCCCTAATGCTGTTTAGCCGGCGCTGAGGACTGCTGGCACTGTACCTGCTTTAGAGTTAGTGTCCCCGGAGGCAAGCGCGAGGCAGCCATCTCAGCGAAACAAGGCGTCCGGCTGGAGCGCGCAGGAGCGGAAGTGGGGGCGGGGCACAGATCAGCCTCCTGGGAAACCGCAAGAGCCGGGTCTTCCGCAGAGCCCGGGAATTTACGAGCGGAGTCGGCGATGTAGCTCAGTGTTGCCACGTCTGCCTGGCAAGCCGAGGTCCTGAGTTCAGTTCCTCAGAAGGGTAATTTAGCAAAAGCATTTGGCACAGTTCTTGGAATGGGATTGTAGTTAAGAATTCAATAAGTGGTAGGTAAGTTTTGGTGGGCAACACTAGTGTACTCATTTTGAATCTCTTAATGCGTATGTTTGAAGGACTAAAATGTTAATTTCTTTTAGAATTTACATCCTGCACTTTCTCCCCTTTTCCTCATTCTTTCCCCAAGCATTTGCCCAGTGATAATCCCGACGATATTTGTAACAGGGCTTTTAAGTGTGTGCCTCTTTGTATTTTTAAGCACTTTTTAAAAAATCGCTGATGAACTAGACAAGTCGCAAGCTTTTACTTCCTACTAGTTTTACCCACACCACATATACCCGTGGGTTATGTATCTGGAAATGAAGCTGGTACATCTTTGGCACACTATGAAATTAAAAGTACAATCCGAAAATCCGTTCACCTACCCTTTTACAGTGCTTCCTTGAAAGCAGCACCTGTTGAAACCCCGGTGCTCCCTTTTCCTTGTTTTCAGGGTACTTCTTCCCGGCCTATTTCCTTATCTGTGAAGCACTGCACAAAGGGAAATAACACTTCTCGCGGTTTGGCTGCTGCAGTACATGTTAACTTACCGAGAACATGCCCTGGTACATGTAAGAACACAATTCTCAGCTCTTACTCGGCCTTGTGTGAGTGACGTTGTCAGTGTTGTATGTTTGAAGTTTTGTCTTAATAGGTGAGAAGTAACAATTCTTGGCCAATTTGTTTTAAAGGTATTAGTGAAGCTCAATACCTCTAGACACTTTTAGTTATGCTGATTTTGTGGATTATCTGTATGACAGGTCCATTTATACTGATGAAGCTTTTTATTGTGGTTTTATTTGCTTGTTTTTAGTACCGGGGATCGAACTCGGGTCCTTGCGTTTGCCAGGCAGGCGGCGGAAACATTGAGCTAAATCCCCGGCCCTACTGTGCTTTTACATGAGCTGTATACTCTTTAATTTTTTGTTACCTATACATACAGCTTTGTCTCCATATTATTGTTTTTTTTCTTTCAGTACCAGGGATCAAACTCAAGACCTTGTCCTTGCGATGCAGGTGCAGCACCACTGAGCTAAATAGCTGGCCTATTTTTATCTTTCGAGATTTTCCAGTTTCACCTTTTTCCATTCAGAGCTTTGTAACTTTTACTATTTAATTCTTAAAATATTTACTGCTTCCAGACTTTAGTTTAAGGCATGATGTTGATCTAAGTTTTCTCACTATTAAACTGTAATTTCTGTTATGCAGAATTCACTTGTTAACAAAAGACAGGCTCTCTCATGAAAAAAGTTTATTCCATTTAACAGAGAATAGAAATCGGGGGATTTTTAGCAGCTAGCTAGGAAAAGCAGAGTTTATCACATCTGTCTGTGGATGGGCAGATGATGGGGGAGAGAGATATTAGCAATTAACTGGTAAAGAATTCGGCTTATATAAGTATCAAAGGGGCTAAGAAACCTGGAGTGACATTTGAGACTTAGCTGCCCAAGGATGGTCTGGACAGGTATATATAGACTTTTCAGCGTCAGTAGGTTGTAAGCCTGATTTTTTTAGTCTATTTTCCTCTTACTGAAAGGCTGCTGGTATTTGTTAAAAGCAATTTTTATTTCCCCTGTTAACTTAGGGCAGGCCTGACAATTTCAACATCATGTACTATTCATTCCTTTTTCCTGTTATATCTTTGGGATCATATGGTAAACTCTTTTAGGGTCAGAATAACCTGTTCAAACCGGGGCTCTATAGGTTCTTCTGACTCTATTGGTAGTGTTCCATATGACCTTTAGAAATGTTTTATATTTCTCTAAATCTTCTTAGGATCTTTATTGTAATTTTGAGTATTAAATCTATAAGCTAATATATGAGCAGATGTTTTTATACTTGTTTTTTGCTCCAGAAATATTTTCCCATGCTAGACACAGTTAATACTGTCACAAGTCTCATGTACTTTGTCTTCATAGGTTCATATTTTGGACAGGAATTTTAAGACGAGTGCACTGCCACTAAGTGTTGCTATTCATACAGGGGAAGCTCATTCCTCTTGGAGATCTTGAACAAAGTGTCTGAAAGGCAAAGTAGGTAAGATTCCAGACGACACTTGAACACTGGCACATTGTAGGAACTGGTTTGCTGTGACCAGATGAGTAGTGATGTTGGTAGAAAGGGCCAGGAGTCCGGCAGGAATAACGTAGGTTGCAGTAACTTGAATAGTATCCTCTTCACAGCAGGCAGTGCTGGAGGGATTTCTAGCTTGAGAGGTTTTATAAAGATATCCTTGGATGTCGTGATTAGGAAGAAATGAAGCAAAGATAAATAACTAGTTTGGAGATCACTCATGTACTCCAGGCTAGAGATTGAAAGAGCCCCAGCTGCCGTAGTGGAATCGGGGGCGGGGTAGGATAAGTGTATACCAGAGAGATGATAAATTGTAATGAGTGAGGATGGAGAGGGAGGTAAAGCAGATGTACAGGTTGAGCTCTAAGTTTGTAAATCGTATGGTATTGGGGAGGTCAACTGATACGGAATTCTGGAAAAAAAAGTTTGGGTAAGAGGAGTAACTGATGCTTTTGAACATGATGCATTCAATGAGTGATCAGGTAGCAGGCATTTGAATATACAGTACTGAATGGCATATGTTTTGATTAATAAGGGACCACATTTATGGTGGTGGTACATAAGATTTTGTTTAAGTGATGCTGTAGCTGTCTTAGTTTGTAGAGATACAGTGTGTCATATTTTTACCACAATAAAAATGCCCAGCACTGGATTTCTCGGAATGTATACCAGTCATTCACTAACCATTGACTACTGGGAATGTAAAAGAACAGCCTTGCTAGATATCTTTGCAAGCCATTTGCTTAGATGATGGTTGAAGTTGTCTAAAATGGGATTTTTTTTTTTTTTTTGGTACCGGGGATCGAACTCGGGTCCTGCACTTGCGAGGCAGGCGCTGGAATCACTGAGCTAAATCCCCAGCCCTGAAAATGGGATTATTATAAAACCATGCAAAGTATTTTGTGTACTGATGGATGCCTATTCCTTTAATGTCAGAACTAGGCATCAGTTCCTGCGACACACTCCCTCTTCCCAAGTTGGAAATGGTGCTCCTGGGTAGCTGCTCACCCGAATTCCTTCTTTCCCAAATCCCAAGAGCCATGGGAATCACTTTAGGCACCCCAGTTAGCAAGACCCACCTTCTATATAGACCTGCCCACTAAAGGCAAATGTAATAGATTACAACATTGTCACTGTTGCTTTCTCTACCAGATGCAACTATTTTCTGCCCCAGAGACAGCTTGGCCAGTCAAATGTGATTGAAGAGAGGTCAGTATGGAGCAGGGCTTTTGTGAGCCTCCATGTAGATCTGCTAACTCACCTGTTTCCATCTGCCACAAAGCCAGCATAGAGGAGCTTGCCCACCATAGATGTTAATGTGAGTCTTACTAAGCTTTTGAAGTTGCTGGGTCATACTAGCTTGGCATAAACTGAATGGTCTGCTGGTCAAGTACATAAGATCAATCCCCTAGCATACCTGTTAAAATCCTTTGTCAAATTCTATTAAGAAAGATCACAAATGATCTCAACAGTGGTAAATCTTTTAATAGTTTTCAGAATATAAACTGCATAGACTTTTTAGAATAAAAAATAACAATAATATAACTTCAGGTACATGCTTTAGGACACTTGGTTAAACAAGCTGTGTCTAATGGCCACTGTATAAGGGTGGCAGGCTTCACAGTGTAACTTGAAGAGAAACACGAGGATAAGGAGATAGATGGTTACATCACGGTATACCACCTACAAAAGAACATTCTGACAGACCATTAAATAGAACACAGCACAGTTTCAAGTATTCAAGCACTGCTTTCTGGCCAAGGAGAAGGTACCTTAAAACCACTGCTGTGTTCTGACTCGGAGAAAAAGAAAAATAAATGTAAGGGCTTAGTTCTTGTGGACAAAGCATTTGTTTTCTAGAGGTGAGACTTGCTCAGTCTAGTTTGAAAGCACTAAGGAATGATTCTTTCCCTTAATTATTAAGGGGGGAGGGGAGAACTAAAGAAATAAATTACTATAACAGGGACTATGGCACCAAGAGTGTGAAACAAAGGAAAAATCATCTATCATTGCATAGTCGCCCGAAGCAGCAAATTTGAATGAAGGAGAACACTGAAAAGCCACTTCATTTTTTCAGAGCCCAAGGATCTTTGTTGATTACTTGGGCTCCTATAATGTTCAATTAAACATAAGAACACCATACACCATTAGCTTCCTTCCCTTGGAGAAGAGTCTTTTCACAATAAGAAAATACAAAAGCACGTTCTGCAAGAAAACTTTAGGTATCTCAGCCATAGGACAGCTTTTGGGTGATATCAAGCTTTGCTGTGGCAGAGCTTGAAGTAGAGCCCAAAGAATTGACACAGTCCAGTTGTTTAAGGAATGTGTCCAACAGTCAGGTGTGGTGGCACACACCTGTAATCCCAGGTTCTCAGTAGAAACATAAATTTTAGGCCAGCCTAAGCAACTTAATGGGACTCTGGGTCCCTGTACAACCGCTCCCCACCAAAAGGGTGCGTAGGGCTCCTGCAAGGGGACTGAAGGTGGCTGGGTTCCTAGAAAGGCATCAGGATCCCCAGATTTGAAAGCAAGGAGCTTGAGCCCAGGCAAAGCAAGAGGCTGAAAACTCTCAGCTATGGTAGAAAATAAGGATAAAATGTCATCTTAGAGGGGCAAGTTCAGAAAAGGAGTAGGGAACACCCGGGTAGATGCCACTTTCTGGCTGTGGTTTAGTCTCACTTTGGACTGTTCTTCCTGTGTTATGGGTGGTCGGAGGCCGTCACTAACTCAAACCACTGTCTGAGGGCATCGCTGAGTGTCTCAGGAAGTGCATTCACATCTCGAAGAATGATATAGAATGGGAATGGGAATTCTTCCATGTAGGATCGGATTTCAGGCATCTCTCCAGGTCCTTTGAATATTGGTACTTTAATGTCCAAGATAGAATCCTGTGACCAAAAGACATTTTGTAAGAAAAAAGGAAAAATCAATTTCCTTAGCTAGGTCTTCTGTGATCTCTCGTGCTGACAATTTAAGTGTCCCTTGTCTTATTTTAACATATGAAACTAGGTCTTATTCTTAATTTTCAGAACACATTAAAAGCGAGGCAGGGCCAGAGATTTAGCTCCATGGTGCTACCCCTTGCATCTCAAGTGCAAGGTCCCGAATTCTGTCCCTGG